GCAGAATTATAGTGCAAGTGAATAATAGGTCATAATAGTTATTCCGGAAGTATTAAGGACAGAAATCTACTGGTTTAGATGAAAAGTTGGAAATCTAGCTGAAATCTAACCTTTCCATAATAACAGTTAAGACATAGATTATTACTCTATAACAAATATGTGCAAAAAATTTCAAGTTTCTTGTTCGTTGATATTTGTTTTAAAAAATTTTCCGCTAAATCCACTCAAATATAAGAATAAACTTTCCATAACAATAATACTAATAAACTGAATAACGAAATTTCAGTGAAAGAGGCTGCTACTGTGATCCTGTCGTTCAAGCCTGTATTATTGAAAGAGTAACAAGTCTGGGACCAGCAACCAATATTCTGAATTATGCTTATTGCGCACCTAAGAGTTTCTGGTACTGCCCGCCATAAGAATATTGTCTTCTCATCATACATATCGCTCTCTGTTCGTCATTCTCTCTTTTATAAATTTTACCTGCGCAAAAACAGCAACTTGAAGTAATCCGCCGACAAAATCCCAGCATCTAAACCTGCTTAGTTGCGGAGTTGAGGTACCCGGACAGACAGACAAACACACACAAGAAAACACGCACATACACATGTAAACACTCACAAAAACATACACATACGCAAACACACACAGACACACACATTCAAACATAAACACATACACACATACACACGCACACAAACACACACACATATACACACACGCAAATACGCACACAGACATACACATACAGACAAGAACACACACACACACGCAAACACACACAAGCATACACATACAAACATAAACACACACACCAACGCGTACATCCCCAAAAAAATTACTCCGGACTGCTTCTCATTTGAAATAGTAGTAAAAAATATAAAATTTAAAGCTTAATGCTTGGTTTAACTCTCCAAACGTAATAACATTGTCAGGACGGCTGGGCTGTCAGTGTTGGTGATTATACTGGGCTTTCAAGTTCTCGGAAATGTATTTTACAAATTCTGCTGCTTATGAAAAAAAAATGTCCAAATAAAATCTTTATTCAAAGAAAGATATTTTAACAAGCAAAGTGCTTCCCTTCTTTTTTTTTACATTATACAGGAAAATAAATTAGCATCGGCATAAGCGGTAAAACGAGGAGGAGAAGGACACGGTGTCTTAACAATTCATGCAAGAAAATGCATTTCTTTTCATGCTGTACTTGAGAAAAGATGCATTTGCGAGTTAAGACGACTGCAACAAACAATGGGGACAGATGCGCAAGGGGGAAAAAAAGATGCCGAGCAGATTAATGATGATGCTAAAAGCATGATTAACAACATAGCAGAAACGAATGTGTAGCCAACAGTTAAAGATAATCCTTCAGAAATTTGGATTATTCTTAAAAAGCGCCATAAAAACGGGAGTGGGGTGTCCCAAAATTTACCGCACTGCGAGGTGCGTTTTGGACCTATTATTAACAAATCAAGATTTTTAAAATTTATTTGAAGCGGGATTGAATTTTTATCGAGGAACTCCCTCGAAAAACTTTGGAAAATAATTTTTATAGTCACAGGATGATTGAAAAACACTGTAATTTCAAAATCACAATGATGAAAACACCGAAAAAAACGGTGGAGTAATAAAATTCACTTGGCGACAGAACTTGTCCACGAAACTTCCTCGAAAAAATTGTTCTTCGAAAAGTCGTTTATTTGGTAAATGCTGTATTTGTACTGGACATTATGCTCACCAAATGGCTTTAGTTTTCCTTCACACTTCCAGTACTGTTTTCAAGATATTCACAAGAAAGTTCTGGATAAGATCTGCCGGCCTCGTGCGTATTTTCAGCGTAATCACATGGATATTGAACAGTCATATTTCATATGCACTGGATGTGTATTGTGA